GAATTTTATTTATAACTATAATGTAATACTGAAGATGGTCAAGTTAATGACCGAAACGTTTATTGATTAGTTATGATAATGATATGAATAAATTATTTATTTTATAATAATTTATTACATTTATAATAATTTATCACAAATAAGAACTTGTGTGTGGTTTTATGCTCATTGTATGAAATTATTGTTTTTGAATCTAACCACGTTTTTGTGAAAGTTATTAAATAATATATTATTTATTATATTTTACAGAAAATTGTTGAAGGTTTATTTATTAGATTAGTTCAAAATGTTATTTGTATCGTTTTTCGTCAATTTGTACTAGATATTGCAATAACAATCTTTTTATATTTTACCAAATATATATATATATTTAAATATTTTTATATTTTATTATATATCTATATAAATTATTAATTTACACAGGATACATATAAGGATGGATATATTTGTATGGAATATTTAAAAATTGGCAAATCTTATACTTCTACAAAAATATATTTTATTATACATATTTTATAAAAAATTAATAAAGTGAGGTTATATATTTAATTTCCAGAATTCTTTTACTATACTGCAGGGGCGCAACAACGGGGGGTGTCCAGGGTGTCCGGACACCCCCTGAAGATCAATGGACACCCCGTCATTGGGTGTCCATTTCAAAAACTTTTTTATCTCTTTGAAACTCATTATTTGCAATCCAATAAGTTTAAGTAGGAAAATAATAATTTCAAATTCATTACTTAGCGCGCCCAAAAAGGTCGGTAATGAACTAGTGGTATATTGGAAAATGCAAGTTCAATCGTGTTGCAACTTGCAAGTCCAAGCGAGGCGCGAGGCGCGAGCCGCTAATGACTAGACTAGACATGACAAGTCATTCGGCTGCAGTATTGTTTATCACGCTCTCGCGACTAACGATATTTAAGCTTATCTTTGAGTTTTTATAAGCCATTTACCAGAGAGTTTTTACTGTGTACACACACATACATATATATTTTACATTAGTGAAAATATTGAATACTTTTTTAAAATAAAACTTTAAACTCATATAAACAACTTTAATTAGAGACATTTGACCAATTTAATTTGAATTTCATGAAATGTATCGTCTGGTCAAAAGTTTATATCATTTTTTCAATGAAAATTAAATCGTATAATAAATTTTAATTGAATCTAGTAAAAATGACAAATGTAATGATGTTAATAATTTCTATAGGTCAAAGATATGTTTACTGAAGTGGAAATTTTAATAAAACTTCTAATGACGTGTCCTGCTTCATCTTGTGAAGCTGAGCGAAGCTTTAGCGCACTTCGTCGATTAAAAACCTACTTACGTAGTACAATGACGCAGAAACGACTGAGCAATTTAGCGATATGTTATGTTCATAAGCACATTTTAGATACAATAGATATTATAGATTTAGCTACCGACTTTGTTGATTTCAATGATTATAGAAAAACTGTATTTGGAAAATATAATCTATCTTTAAAAAATCCATTGTCACGTGACACGTTCGTTTTATTCGCGATGTGATTAGTTAATGCCTCTTCAAGGCGAGTAAATTTGAAATGTACGGAATGAATTTAGCTATAAGATTTATATATTAATAATTATAACACCACAAAATCATTTGAAAACAATTAATTTTATTAAAAACAAAAAAAAAATGAATGGAAAAAATAAGTAGTATTTCTTTCTTTAAAGACCTTCAGCTTATCTCTTAATAATAGATTATTTTCTATTATAAAAATAATATTGTAAGCGACAACTCGCTTCTCATAGTTTTTAAGTTGGCAATGCGCTCGTTACCAGACTCCCTACCACAGCGTGGCGCTGTGCTATGGAGAAGAGACCCTGTGATTGGTCGACAGTAATTCTAAGTTCAAGAATACGTTAAGAAGTCGCGTCCTAGACGCTCTGCAATAAAGTGTGTTTTTAACTAACGTGTGTTTCATCCTGGATCTTTCAAGCTATTCCTGACATCTTTCCATCGTTTCCTTAACCGGTTACGTTTCTATTTCTACCCCTCGATTAACCTTGTCGAAACCTTACAGTCTCAGAAGTGGGATTCCTCTCACCGTCCTGCCTCTCGGATTCCATCTTGGATCCTTTGTCCTTTGTATCCACACACGTTTTCTTTGTACTGAACGTCGCGTTCGTCGGCATTCGAGCGGTACAAGTTTCGCTCCGTGATTATTACGGTTGCTATAGTTTTCGGTCGGTTCGTGACCTCTCGGGTTATTCAGTTCGGTTTAATACGCTGAAAGCCTTTTTCCCGCTGTGTAACAGTGTTCGTCATACGTGTCGTCAACTAGTCGATTCACGTTTACAAGTGTTTTTCAGTTCAGTTAATACGCTGAAAGCCTTTTTCCCGCTGTGTAACAGTGTTCGTCATACGTGTCGTCAACTTGTCGATTCACGTTTACAAGTGTTTTTCAGTTCGGTTTAATACGCTGAAAGCCTTTTTCCCGCTGTGTAACAGTGTTCGTCATACGTGTCGTCAACTTGTCGATTCACGTTTACAAGTGTTTTTCAGTTCGGTTTAATACGCTGAAAGCCTTTTTCCCGCTGTGTAACAGTGTTCGTCATACGTGTCGTCAACTTGTCGATTCACGTTTACAAGTGTTTTTCAGTTCGGTTTAATACGCTGAAAGCCTTTTTCCCGCTGTGTAACAGTGTTCGTGATACGTGTCGTCATCTTGTCGATTCACGTTTACAAGCGTTCAAAAGCGAGTGATTCTCGTTTACGCCTTTCGTGAGTGCATCAATTGGTGTACGTAAAGCTTTTCGGCATTCTCGGCATTTGCCGCTGCCTTACGACTATTGTATCAGATAGTCGCCATTACGTTGTATTCAACGTCTTCAACGGTTTCCGTTTGCGCGCGCGTGTCAACGTCGCCATCTTAGTGTTTTGCCAACACAAGTTCTGATTGGTTGGTAACTGTTCGGTTTACGAGTGTACAAAGTTACGTGCATTCACGGCGTTTATCGATTTATCGCATTGACTTTATCGATCGTTATTCAGAATGGATCGCGAACGCCTCGATGGATTATCTTACGAGCAGTTGAGAGACGAACTTATTAAGCTCAAGCTTCCTGTCACTGCGTCTCGAACAGACTGTTTAGACAGACTTTTAACTTACTATGAACGTTATTATGATTGTGAATCCGGAGCTATAAACGAAGTGGCTAGTGGTTCTCAAACAATCGCACGACCGTCACAAAGTGTCGACAATGTTTCTTCTGTGCGTTCTGCTACTACCATGGAAGAGATGCAACAATCCGTAACCTTTATTATGCAACAAATGCAACGACAGCAACAATTAATCGAAAGGATTGCTAATGCGGTCACCTCCGCTGAGTCAGGCACGAGAAATGCCCCTCCGTCAACATCAGTGGCGCCAACGAATCAACAATCGCCAATTATAATTTCTTCGTCATCAGTTCGAAATTCAATGGATGGTGCAGCATCTATGGACAATAATCGACATATTAATGTTTTTCCGCCTTTGGCTAGTGCATCCCCTGCACAGGCTGTTAAGCTGTTAGCTAATCAAATTTCTGTCTTCAGTGGTACGGAAGACGACGACGTCGAAGTTTGGATTCGAAAAGTTGAAAGAGTTGCTTCAATACATGGAGTACAAGATGGTGTTACTCTTCTTGCCGCATCGAGCAAACTCACAAAAAATGCAAGAGAATGGTTTGACTTAGATGATGGGCAAATCAACGACTCTTGGTTTTCTTTCAAAAACGCTATCATTAAACGTTTTAAAAGGTACGTGCCTTTCCATGTACTTATGCAAAAAGTTGAATCACGGAAATGGAATTTTCCAAAGGAGTCATTCCACGACTACGCTTTACAAAAAATGAAGCTGATGAATAATTTACAATTGCCAGATCGAGATCGCATACAATTGATAATCAATGGCATCAATAGTTTATCTCTACGCAGCACTGCAGCAGCTATAAGAACCAATTCAATGGACGACTTTTTGGAGCAAATGGGACAAATTACCTCCTCCTGCGCCATCAACGTTAAGAAGTCTCCACCTCCAGTGCCAAAAAAGGAGCGTATCAAGACGCCAGTGCTTCCTACAACGGAATCTTCATCACAATCAACGAAGAATAATAGTGCAGTGTCCTGTGTTTATTGTAAGGCAATAGGCCATGTAAAAGCAGACTGTTTTAAACTTCGCAAGAAGAATCAATCTTCTAGCTCTGAGTCGACGAGTGCCTCTGCATCCGTCGCAGCTCCAGTAACGCAGAAGGACAATCCCTCTCAAGTGGGATGTGTTCTCGATAACTCAGTGCATACATCAAAGTCAAGTAACTCTATAGTCGAGATAAGTTCGATTAACGGTTCAAAGTGTAGCATGTTTGCGTTAATAGATACCGGAAGCCCCGTTTCATTCATGTTAAGTCCGGTATACAAGTTGTTCTTCGGACAAAATTCTAGCTACGATAAACCAGTTATTGATAATTTAATTACTTTGAATGATACCAATATTAAAGTCCTTGCAATTCAAGACGCGAATATCAGTTTATCAATACTGCCTCATAATATTTTTAACGTACAACTACGTATTGTGGATAACGACTTATGGTCAACACACGTTGTTTTAGGTCGTGATTTCATCTCTAACAATGATTTATCTCTTTTATATAAACCTAATTCATCCAATGAATCAGATAAATTGCAGTTATTTAAAGAAGTCGCATCTGCCGATTTTTTAGAAACTAACATTAAGAAAATAGCTTTTGACACTGATTTTGGTATTAACGGTGATCAGAAAATTAACGAGCTTATTGAGGAAGTACAAAATACTCCTGTTGCTCCGATAAACGATGAATATAGTGTTAAGGTTAGGCTAAAGGACGACTCCATTTTTGCGTATGCACCTCGCAGATTTGCTCATACAGAACGACTAGAAATACGCGAAATTATTGATGATCTCCTTAAAAGAGCAATTATCAAACCGAGTAACTCTTGTTATTGCGCTAGAGTCGTACCGATACGTAAGAAAAATAAAAAACTAAGACTTTGTGTAGATTTACGTCCCCTTAATGATCGAGTCATTAAGCAAAAGTTTCCTTTTCCAGTAATTGAGGATCTTTTATCCAGACTTGGCAACGCTAAGGTATTCACTTTAATTGACTTAAAGGATGGTTTTCATCTAATCAAAATACATCCAGATTCTACCAAGTTTTTTTCATTTGCTACTCCAGACGGCCAATACGAGTACTTGCGGTTACCCTTTGGATACTGTGAGTCCCCCGCCGAATTCCAAAAAAGAATCTATCATATTTTACAGCCCCTGATCAGAGAGGACAAAATCTTGGTCTATATAGACGACATACTCATTCCATCTGAAACAGTTGAAGATAATTTGATAGTATTAAAGCAGACTATGTTATTACTCAAGAAATATGAATTTGAAATTAATTTCGAGAAAAGTCAGTTTCTTAAACATTCTATTGAATTCCTGGGATATACAGTATCTCCGACAGGAATAACGTTAAGCGAACGTCACGTTGAAGCGATTAGACGTTTTCCCGTTCCGAAAAGTGTTATTGAATTACAGCGATTCTTAGGCTTAGTCAATTTTTTCCGCCGTTTTATTAAAGATCTTGCCACTAAGGCTAAACCATTACATTCTCTTCTCAAAAAGAATTCAGAATTTAAATTTGATGATAAGTGCGTTGAAGCGTTTGAACAATTAAAATCAGACTTGCTTACATATCCGGTTTTGAGACCTTATCAACCCCACTTATATACAGAGTTGCATACCGACGCCAGCTCCATTGCACTTGCTGCAATACTCTTGCAAAAACAGGATTCTGGAGCATTAGCCCCTGTTGCTTATTACAGCCAATCTACCAATGAAGCCGAAAGTAAATATCACTCCTTTGAGTTGGAGATGTTGGCTATCGTCAAGGCCACCGAACGGTTTCACATATATTTGGCCGGTATACCCTTTAAAGTTGTTACCGATTGTAACTCACTGGTCCATGCAGTGAATAAAGCTAGCATTAATCCGCGCGTAGCTCGTTGGATTTTACGATTACAAAACTATACTTTTTCAATAGTACATAGAAGTGGACAAAAAATGACGCATGTAGACGCTTTGAGCAGGATAGTCGCGTCAACAGAAATTATGCCTCTCGAAAAAGAGCTACAGTTTAGACAATTAGCAGATCCAAATATTAAAATAATTGCTCAACAATTGGAAAAAAGTGTTCATCACGATTATGATCTTATTGATGGTTTAGTATATAAAAAAGAATCCGATGGTGTTAAATTTGTAGTGCCAGAAGGCATGATTCATAAAATATTATACATTTACCACGACGAATCCGCCCATTGTGGTACGGATAAAACTTTTCAGGGCATCCATGTTCATTATTGGTTCCCAGCGATGCGTCGCAAAATCAAAAGTTATGTTTCGAATTGCGTGACTTGTTTAATGGCCAGCGCATCTCACACTCCGAAAGAAGGCGAGTTACAGATTACTCCTACTGCAAACCACCCTTTTCAGATAATGCATACTGATCATTTCGGTCCTCTGCCCGAATCGCGAAACGGTATGAAACATATACTTCTACTCATTGATTCATGTACCCGGTTTACTTGGTTATTTCCGGTGAAGTCTACTACCACGCGTGAAGTGGTCAAACATTTTTCTTTACTATTTGATAATTATGGAAATCCCAATGAAATTGTATCAGATCGCGGAACTGCGTTCTCTTCATCCGAATTTGTAGAGTTTCTGCGTCCTCGTGGAATCAAACATCGTTTAGTAGCAGTAGCCTCACCCTGGGCGAATGGGATGGTTGAAAGGGTTAACAGATTTTTAAAAGCATCACTTAAGAAAGTCGTTGAAGACCCTATAGAATGGTCTAACAAGCTCGTTACAATACAATACGTAATTAACAATACGTTTCACGCGTCAACTAAAGCGTCCCCTTCCAAGCTATTGTTAGGTTACGAAATGAAAAATCATTCTGACAGTAAACTTGTTGAATTTTTGACTGAATTAGCTAAAACAGAAACTTCAAAGAACGAAGAACTACCTTGGGTAAACGAGCGAGATACTAGTCGTAAGCTTGCGATTCAAGCGACTGACAAAATTAAAGAGTACAATAAAACTTATTATGATCGTAGTCATAAGGCTCCAAAAAAGTTCAAAGCAGGCGAATATGTACGCGTTAAAGATGACGTCGTTAAACCTGGTGAAAGTAAAAAATTGAAGTCGGACTTCAAAGGTCCTTACATGATAGACAAAGTACTGTCACATAATCGATATGTTGTCAAGGATATTCCAGGGTTTAACATTACATCGAGGTACTACAATTCTATTTTGTCACCGGATAGACTTAGACACTGGATAAAACCAGTAGTTCCTTTGTGAAGTCTCATTATCTTTAAAATTAAATCTAAGCTTAAATTTAAGATTTAGCATAAGTTTTCTTTCGTTTTTGCAACTAGTAGCGGTTAATAAATATTTAGTCTTTACATAACACTGCCGCCTAGATTTAAGAGTAGCATATAAGACGAAGTTACTCATTGTTTTGTTAACATTTAATCAATTATTATTTGTAATCCATTGTATGTATTCTGTGGTTATATTGTTTCAAATTTTATCACAAAATTATAAGTTACGTTCGGGACGAACGCTATTGCAGAATGGCCGAGCTGTAAGCGACAACTCGCTTCTCATAGTTTTTAAGTTGGCAATGCGCTCGTTACCAGACTCCCTACCACAGCGTGGCGCTGTGCTATGGAGAAGAGACCCTGTGATTGGTCGACAGTAATTCTAAGTTCAAGAATACGTTAAGAAGTCGCGTCCTAGACGCTCTGCAATAAAGTATGTTTTTAACTAACGTGTGTTTCATCCTAGATCTTTAAAGCTATTCCTGACATCTTTCCATCGTTTCCTTAACCGGTTACGTTTCTATTTCTACCCCTCGATTAACCTTGTCGAAACCTTACAATATTATTAAATAATTACCGCAGTAAATTCATTGGGCAAATTCGAGGACCCTTTTTTTTTTTTGTAGTATTCAAGAAAGTCACGGTTGGACACCACCTAAGCTTACGAGGTTGTTGCGCCCCTGCTATACTGTACATATTTCCATTATTGATATACATTTTAGAATAAAATACACAATAATTATTACAATAATAGTTAACATATGTATCTCTTTGTCTTTATGCACTCTGCTTTTATTTGTAACTACCTGACTTTCGACTTGCGCGGAGTTAGCTCGTCGGAATAATTGTCCGAGGATTCGAAAGAGGTTCGATCGGTAGGAGAATGCAGGGCACGTAAAGTCTCAGACGGATGTAAAATAACAAAATAATTGATTTATTAATTTCGCCGAAATGGCTTGTATTCTATCGGAACAGATAAAAAAAAACGGCTTGGCGCCGAGGCGGTCGCAATGTATCGGCGAATACGTGTGTATGCGTTGTGTACGCGTGGTGTTGTTGTGTGCGTGTCGCGCAAGCGGCGCGGTGTCTGATTAACAATGCAGTGTGTGTCCGTATGCGTGGTATGTGTGCGTGAAGCGGAGACGGCGCAGTGTATGCGTACGTGCGAGCGAGTGCGGTGAGTTTGCTCGCGTCGGTGTTGTGACGGGCTAGTCCCAAAAAAAAAAGGTAGGAGACGGGCTTGCTCGTCTCCCCTTTTTTTTTTCTCGCGGTGCCTGTTCGCGCGGCTGATCAGCTGGTCGGTCTAATTTTAGCCCTGTCAATACGGCAATGCTATGATTCGCGGTGCGCGGTTTTCGCGTGTTCGTCTATTCGCGTGAATTCGTGCAATGACCACCGGCCGAGAACGCTCGGCAGAGGTGGAGAACTCTCCACCCCGGGCTATTGGTAGTCGATTGCGGTGCGTGAGGCGAAGGATGTTAGGCACGTTGCACCGAGACGGCGGCCGAGAACGCTCGGCAGAGGCAGAGCACACTCTGCCCCTTGGTTCTTACCGTTCGGTGCACTAGGATGCCTATTCGTGTACCTGCCGAGAACGCTCGGCGGAGCTGGAGTACTC